CTCCGGCGATCTTTCTGCCTCAGCCTTCCAAGTAGCTGGAACTACAGGCACGCGCTACCATGCCTGGCTAATTTTTTTTTATTTATTGTGGAGATGAGGCCTCACCAAGTTGCCCAGTTGGGTCTCGAACTCGCGGGCTCATGCAATCCACTCATCTCAGCCTCCCAAAGGCGTGGGATTACAGGCTGAGCCACTGAGCCCGGCCCCATTTCTTTCAATCCCACTGCCCACTGCCAGGGTGGGCTTGCTGATCAGAAGAAAGGGGCTGTCTAAGGGGCTCAGCCTCCAGCCCCTGGGGTCCCCCTCCCTGAGCCTCTGTGACTGCCAGACAGGGGAGGGCATGGCCAGCCCTCACCTTCCAGGGCGGGGGAAAGCTCTGGGTGGCATGTGGGCATCCACCATACCCCCACTGTCCCAACTCACTAGTTCATGGTGCTGTACCCTTTGGCCTTGGTGAACCCCACTGAAATGGCCACAACCAGCGCAGGGAGCCCTGGAGAAGGAGCAGAAGAAAGAATGTTGGTCCCTACCCAAGCCCCTGGCCACCTCCTCCCATCCTTCACAGATGGGACTAGGACCAGGAAGGCACCTCTGAAGTCCCCAAACACAGGGTGAGGCTGAAAATGAAGGGGCAAAGGAGGTGGACAAGATGAGGGTCCACAGGGCTGGGTGTGGGGCTGCCAGGTGAGCAGAGGACACGTACGATGCCAGCACATCCAAATTCAGACAAACAAGGCATCAGCTTTAAGTGTTAAGTGTCTCCCAAATATTTCGTGGGGCATACTTATGCTAAATGTGCATGTGTTATTTGAAAGCCAAATTAACTGGGTGTCCAGTGTCTTGCCTGGCAACCCCATGGGGGTATGAAGGCCCCAAATGGAGAGGCCCACCCGAGGGGCAACAGAGCCCCAGGGGTATCCAGGGGAGGGGCAAGGGAGGGGTGGCAAGGGGTAGGAATAAGCAGCGGGGGCCAGGAGGAAAGGTATCCAGGAGGCCCAGGGAGGTGGCCTGCCTGGCCCTGGCCACCACTTACCCCAGCCCAGGCAGAGGAAGCGCTTGCGGATGAGTCGGTTCCGGAGGCGGCCCGTCACAGCCATGTAGGACTGCCAGGCCTCGGTGAGCACCCAGCAGAAGGAGGAGAGGAAGAAGAAGTGCAGGAAGGCAGCCACCAGGGTGCACACCACCTGGGCAGGGCAGGAGGGCAAGGGCGCTGGGCAGGTGCTCACCAGCCCCACGCCCACTCCGAGGCACAGCACGCAGTGCCTGGACCAGGCCAGATCCTCAGGCAGGAGTCACTGAGAGGTCCCCTGGTTGGCAGGCCTGAGTCGGGCTGTTGAGTGTCTAAGGTCCCCAGGTGGGTGCTTATGTAACCCTGCCCACAAACTGCCAGGAATAGACACCCCGCCCTCCTCGTCTTCCAAATGTTGGCCCCAGAGCCCACTCAAAAGCCCCAGCTCAAGCCTATCTGTTCAGGAGCTGCCAGATTCAAGGCTGGCCAGGGCCGGGTAAGCGGGGAGAGAGAATGGCTTCAGAACTCAGTCAATCTTGGGTGCTGCTCCCTCGTCCTGAGGTAGCGCCAGCTGAGGCTGAAAACGTACAACCGATGCCACTCTCCATGGGGGCCGGGAGGGACTTGAGCGGGCTGATCTCCAAGGGCCAGTCCAGCTGAGACTCTGGAACGCAGACTGCCCTTCTCGGCCAGGTGATCAGCCCCTGGTGGGCTGCTGCAGCCAAGGAGGAACTCCATGCAGGGGGCAGCCTCCTCCTGCCCACCTCCTGCCTGAGCCTCCCAGGGATCCCACAGCCCAGGCCCCTGCTGGGGGTCCACCTCACTCTACCTGAGGATGCCAGGAATGCACGGCAGCACAGAGAGCCACCTACCTTGTTGCGGGTCTGAGTCTGCCCAATGAGGATGAGGGCGTTGGAGGAGATGATGGACAGGCAGAAGTTGATGAGGATGACAGACCGTTCTGAGCGGATGTACCTGCGGGAGAGGGCAGGGGCCTGAGGGCGGCACCCAAGACGGCCTCATCTGCATACGACTACCTTCTGTGGTCTGCACCCAGACCAGGGCCCCACCCTCTTCCTGCAGTCACTGCCCCCACCACCACCACCACCATCATCATCACTACCACTGACACTATCTATTCATCTTGGGTGCTGCTCCCTCGTCCTGAGGTAGCACCAGCTGAGGCTGAAATCGTACAACCACTATTACCACCACCAGCTCACCATCATCACCATCACCGCCATCACACTAATAGCCATTATCATTACCACTACCATCATCTCACCATCACCCTCACCACTATACTGATAATCACCACCATTACTATCACCACCACCATCACCACCACCGCTATCCTCACTACCACCACCATTATCACCATCACCACCAACATCACCACCACCATCACCACCATCACCATCACCATCAGCCCTTGGGGACTGAGATCCATCCAGGTGGAGGGCAGGGGGTACAGAGCTGAGCCTCAGTGGCTATGACATGGCCCCAAAGTGCTGCATAGCCTTGGGCAAGTCATCATCTCTCTCTGGGTCCCCACTTCCCCATGGGGGCCATCGGAGCGGTCCCTGCCTGCAGCTTGTAGGGCTGCAGTGATGGCCAGCAGAGTTCAGCAAGGCAGGTGCTTTGAAAACTGCAGACACACCAGAACTGGACTTCAGAGCCCCCGAGCCCCAATCCCCAGATGTTTTAGGAAACGGAGGCTCCAGGGAGGCCTGGTCCCCTGGGAGGAAACAGTCATGGACTCCGAGGAGCCCAGCGGGAGGAACGCTGGATGCTCCCTCCTCAGGCGGGACAGTGGCGAGGCCTGCTGCTAACCACTACCCAGTCACTGGCCACCCCGCCCCCACCAGCCACATCGACCTCTTGTTGCCCGACCTTGGGCAGCAGCCAGGCAGTCAGTTCCGATTATTGGCTGACATCGTGCTGCCTGCAGAGCCGGAATAGCCAGGCACAGCGGCTGTATGCCCTCTGGACATGCCGGGAGGCCTGACTCGGACCCATGGGCAGCTGCCTGGGCAGTGACCTTGAGTTCACACTTTCTATTCCACACTTCTACTCAATGGGGCTGGAAGAAGGTAGTGGGGGAGATGGAACCTGCTTGACGGGCACACGCCTGCAGTCACATGCATGCCCATAGGTGAGAACTCATACGTCTGAAGCCACCCGGGCCTGGATGCTCATACGGAGCCAGCGCACCACACTCACTCAGGTTCGTTAGGCTCAGACATGAGTGTTCATCACACACATCTCCCTCATACCTGCCCGGGCCCCAGTGTGGGGCTCCAAAAACCCACAGACCTACAGTTGGGACAGGCAGCACCTGCAATGGCTACAGAGGTCCAGTGCCAAGCCCCCTCGGCCTTCTCGGAGGAAGGGAGTTTGGGGTAAGAGAGCCAGCTCTGGGCCCTGGGGAAGGCTGTGGCCTTGCTAGTGCAGGTGTAAGGACAGACAGGGAAGCCAGGCGGCTGCGGGGATGTGCCCCGTTAGAGAGTGGGCTCAGGACTGGCATCTCCAGGGAATGTATTCAGGGGACAGCAGGATCTGGGACCCTCCCGTCTGCACTTGCTCAGTGTGGGCACAGCTCAAGTGTGTGAAGAGGTTGTTGGGGACCTGGGGCAAGGCTGTGGAGACAGTGCAGGGCTAGGTTGGTGGCAGAGAGGGAGGTGGCTGAAGAGGTGAGAAGAAAAAGGGAGCAGCGCCCAGGGCCCCACCCGGGGACTCCAGGAAGGAGGTGCTGAGATGTGGGTACCAAGACCTTTTCCCCACCCAGGGCTCAGGGGCAGCACCTACCTCCACACGGACACGTAGATGATAACCAGCATGAGCAGGGTGAGGGAGGACACGCCGCAGCCCACGATGAGCGTCACAGATGGCAGGGTCGCCTTCTCCATGTTCTGTGGGTAAGGGAGAGACCATGGGGAATGAGACCACAGTGGCCTGGGAGTAGGACCCAGCACGCCAGCTCTGCAGCCCAGCAGACGGAAGCCCGCCATGTGGGGGCAGCCCAAGGTCACTCTGTGCAGCCCCCAAGGCTCCTCTTCCCAGTGAAAGTTCCCCCCACCTCAGGCACCTCCTCACCCTCCCCATCCCCCACCTTTCACTAACACACCAAAGCTCCCCAGAACCTTCTTTCCTGGGCTGTCCCCTGTGAGGACAGGGCTTCAGACCCTGCCTCCGGAGTATAATCATGTGCCAAGCCTGATGATAAACCCTTCGTCTCCATCACATCATAGACCCCCACCAATTCCAGGGAAGCACCAGGAGGCAGCAGGCCATCACCTGCCCTAGGGACAGTCCCCTCAGGCCCCAGACTCTGAGACACTAGTGGGGGGGGAGCAGACACTGCTTCGGCCCATCCCCATCTGAGATGCTCCACAGCACCCCAGCATCTGCTGATCATCCAACTGGCACCTGAAACTCCACTCCCCACCCGCCCCCACAGACCTGACACATCACCAACTCGCCAGCACCAAAGTCCTACCTCTCCCTTCTCTCCCTCTGTCCTCTGCACCCTCCAGGCCTGGCCGCCAGTCACAGGCTCCCAGGGCTCCCACCTCTAGCTTACCCCCATCAAGCTCCTGTCCAACTGCAGCCAGAGGGTTTTATAAAATGCCACTGGAGGTCACCCCCTGCTCAGAGTCCTCCCTGACTTCTCATGCCCTAGGCTTCATCTGAATGCTCTACCTGGCTCTGCGAAGGCCACTGGGTTGGCCCTGCCCACCCGCCAGCCCCTCTCGCCTGACAAGACCAGTGAGCTGCCTCCTTGTTCCCACCTCAGGGCTTTTGCACCTGTAGTTCCCCGCCCGGAATGTACTTCCCCACCTTCATATGTCTGTGCCTCTTACCCACTCCAATCCTGTCCTCTGCTTGGAGGGGCCTGAGCCAGTGACAGACCCTATCACTTCCTGCTATGAAGCCTGGCACAGCCCTGAGCAGGCCAGGCTGGTCCCTGCTTCTACATGCATGTGTTCACCCTGTGCGACCGCACAGCCTGTGGTCTGTGTGGTGACCTGCACTGCTCCCCCAGCCTGAGGACACTGCATGTTTGCAGAGGGGCGAACGGAAGCCCTACTGAGTCCAGAGTGCAAAGAAAACCAAGGAATGGAGGAGAAAGAGCCCTGCAGCACACCCCCGTCCCCAGCCTCAGGCTCTCAGAAGGGGGCCCAAGAGAGTCAGGGAGATGGCCCAGGTTGCGAGGCCTGGGGAGGAGGGGTTCCTAAGGACTCTCCAGCCCAAAGCTGACACCTTCCTGCCCCTGCCCCTGCCCCAAGTCTGGCCAACTACAGAGCAGCTCTTAGATCCCTGCTGGCCCTGGCATGCTATAGAGGTGAGGACCTCCCACTCCACTGGCCCCCAAAGCCCTGAGTAGCCCTTCTTGCCCTCTCAGGTACCCCAAGTCCCCTAAGTCCTAGGGCCTACCCCACCTGGCACCACTGCCCCCCACCCCAGTCTGGGCCCCCCTCTTTCTCCACAGCCAAGCTTATGATGGCTTTTCCCACACAGCCCTGTAGTCTCCATCATGCACATGCTGCTCCTGTGGCTTGGACCGCCCTTCCCTGCACCAGAAGCATCACCTCCTCCAGGCTGCCTCCCAGGCCACTCTGGTGTCACCCCGATCCAGTCCAGGTCCCATGCTGGGGGTGACTGCCTGTCCCTGCAGCTGAGTACCCTCCATGCCCATGAGCTCTCTTGGGGCCAGGCCCCTCAGGGACACTCAGTTCATGTTACTGGCAAGATAAATTAAAGGGGGAAAGGCAGGATCCAGAAAAATGGAGAAGGTCAGCCAAGGTCACCATGTGGCCAGTGGTACGTGGGGGCACAGCTGAGAGTCCAGCGCAGACACAAACCTTCTAGGTCTCCACACACAGAGCCCAGGACTCCGGAAGTGTGGTGAGCTCAGGGCTGTGACCAGGACTCTTGGGTCCAGGCCTAGCTCTCCCCTGACCTCACTGATAGCCTCAGGGCCCCACCTGTCCCGGCCCTGTTCCCCATGTGCCCTCACTGTCACCTCCCTGGGCTAAGCCCCAAGCACTTGGGGTCAGCCTGTCCTCCCCTGCTCCTGGGTGAGCCTCTCCCTTCCCCGGGTGGCTCCAACCCACGAGGCCCCACCACCTGCTGACGGCTTGTCTGCAAGGCCTTGGGCCGTGACTGCCCCAACCAGAACTGGAGTGTGACTGTTGCATTCTAGGCAGTGGGATCTAAGCCCCTACCCTGTGAAGGTCTGGCCCACTGGCTGGCCACCCCCCCATCTCCTCCTGTCCCCAGCTCTTCTAAGTTCCATTTCCTGATGTCTCTCCCACGGCCCCCTCCCCTCCAGGTCAAGATGAGGCCTGAGGTCGCCCACCTGAGGCCTGAGGTTGCTCCGTCCTCAGCGTGATGCAGGCCACACCCCTGACACAGACACAGACATGCAGTGCCTGAGGCCCACGCACACACCCAGCACTTGCCTCATGGCCTTGGGACCAAGTTGAGCTCCTTGTGACTGTTGGGCACCTTTGCTCCAGCTGTGCCCCTCTAAATGAGGTGCGACTCCTTTTTGTGTGTATAGAAGCATTGCCATGGCCTCCAGGAAGCCCACTCTGACTACTCCAGGCCTCCAGGCTCTGCTGGAGACCCAGACCACGAGCCAGGTAGCCTTGCTCACCCCAAGAGTCCAAACCACACCCTGGTAGGGCAAGGGAAAGATAGCACTGCCGTCCCCAACAGGACACTCTGCTCAGGCACCATTTTTGCATGTCACAGCCTGGAGCTCAGACCTTATCATGGTGGCCCTCTGAGATCTGAGTCCTATCACCTGGTAACTTCACCAACCAAGAACTGGAGGCCCAGGGCTAGGAGGAGGCCAGTAGGAGAAGGATGGGTGGGAGGCAGGGTGACCCCAGCAAATGCCCCCAAGACACTGGGCTGGCCCATGGCCGGCCATCCACGAAGGTCACGGGCAGCCGAGTAAGTGGCTCGCGCCTGCTCCATGCTGGCTGTAGCCCAGACCTCTGTGGCCATCTGCCTCCGTCTGCCCTCATTAGGCCTGGCAGCCGTGAGGCCACCAGCTCTCCCACCTGCCTGCCTGATCCCTTCTCTTCTCCACCTGGCTCATCAGTCATTTCCGACAGCCCTAGCTCAGCAGGTTCCAGGTGATGTGAGGAGGGGACAGGATGCCCCAGGGAGGCAGGGGTGTCAGAGAAATCCAGGTTTCATTAGGAAGGCTGGACTGGAGACCTCAAGAGCAAGAGACTAGCACCAACTCAGAGAGGAGGCGGAACCAGGACAGCCCCCTGCTGGAGACCAGCCACTGTGCCATGCATACTGCCACCCCAGGGCCTTTGCACATGCTGGTCCCCCTGCCCAGTGCACTTCCCCTGACCTTCCCATGGCTGGCTCTCCTGTCAGCATAGGAGTCATCACCTTGCAAAGGCCCTCTGTGAATGTTCACTCTGAACCAGGTCTTGGCTCTCTGCCCCATCACCTGCTGTTAACCTTCTGCAGGGTACTGGGCACCCCACAGTGCCACCTTCATTCTATCCCTGATCCAGTACCATCTATGGCTCCCAAATGCCCACACAATTAATTCCTGATTCTAGTCACAGAATAAGCCATGAACACCATCATACACTGAACCCTGACCCAGGTTACACCCTGAGCCTTGATTCCCATCGCACCCTGGTCCCTGAATCCAGTCACACACTAAACCCTGACCCAAGTCACATGCTGAGCTTTGACCTCAGTCACACTCTAAGTCCTGATCCTGGTCATATTCCGAGCCCTGAGCCCAGTCACATCCTGAGCTGTGATCCTAGTCACTCTCTGAGGCTTGGTCTTGGGCCCACACAGAGCACCGATTCTGGCCACATGCTGAACCCTAACCCTGATCACACCCTGATCCCTTATTCTGGGGACATGCTCAGACCTGACCTTGATCACACCCTGACCCCTGACCCCGGGGACATGTTCCACCCTGATCCTGGTTGCAACTGGACTAGCCCAGTTCGAGGCACAACACAGAAGCAATACCAACAACCACTGTTCTTTACAGACTGTTTACTACATGCCAGACTGTATCAAGTGCCACAAATACTCATCCAGTGCAATCCCTACCACAGACAGAGACAGGTGTCATCGGCCCCCTCACAGGTGTGACTCAGAGCAGTTACTCAACCTTCCGCAGTCGCAGGCCCGCAGTGGCACAGCGGGCATCTGCACTGACACTCTGGCTCCAGGCCCAGCTCCGAAGGGACTCCTGGGTCTCATCTCCCCTCACTCCACACCCCTGCCCAGATCTCACCCCACCCCAGTCGCTGGGATGTCCATGGCACCCATCTCTACCACCATCTCAGACCCTAGTGCTAGACATCAGTGCCTTGAGGCCACTCTGTACCCAGGGGTGCCCATGGCTTCTGCCCACTCAGACTTGAGTCCCCATGCCCAATGTGCCCATCTCCCCAGCTGGGCTGAGGCGGGCAGCACCATCTCTCCCCAGTTCAACTCACCTCTGGCCGCGTTCCCACCTGCCAGCTGGGCTGTCTGCTCTACTGGCTCCTGCTTCTAGTTCCTGCCCCCTCCTCCCACTTCCTAGCCTCCCCCAATCTACCGCCCTCAGAACAAAGTACAATCTCTCCCCCGGCCCCAGGCTTTGCTGGCAGTTCCCGTCTCTCCTCTCTCTGCCTCTCCTGCCCCCTGAGTCCCACGCCTGTCTCCCACTTTCCTGGCAGCTTTGTGTCTCTCTCACCCTCCCTGGGACGGCGGCTCCTCCTCCCCACAAAGCTCGGCTGGTGAACTCCTGTGCACACCTCAGGACCCCACTCCAAACCTCCTCCTAGTGCACTTCTCCCCAGGCCACAGGGGGAGGAAAGGAGGTTGTTGCTATGCTACCAGAGTCCACCCCCAGCCTCCCTGCTTCC